TGGAAACCGACAAAAAAGAGGTCACCGTTTGTTTGGGCAGGTGGACAAGAATATGCCCTTGACGAGCTTAAACGATGGATTTCCTCCGCTCCATTGGTTGCCATCTTTGACGAATCACGCCGTACTTTTGTGCCAACTGATGCCTCCGATGTCGGCCTCGGCGCTGTGCTTTCACAACTACAAAACGGTGGAGGAACGTTATCAGAATGGAATCGTCATTACTCCGCCGGCGAAAAGGAAGCTCTCGCTTGTGTGTGGGCTTGCGAGAAATGGCACCATTACCTCTTTGGCCGCCGTTTCATTTTACGAACTGCTTCGGATTACCAGAGGAAGTGGTTACAGATAATGGTCCCCAATTCTGTAGTTACGAATTCGAAACTTTTCTCCAACGACATAAGGTGAAACATTCCCGGACTGCCCCCTACAATCCTGCAGCTAATGGCACGGTGGAGCGCTTTAACCGGTCTCTCAAGGAGGCAATATACGTCCTCCAACTAAAAGGGGTAAAGTGGGAAGAAGCTGTCTTAACGGCGCTGCTATCATACAGAACGTGTGAACACAGAGCCACAGGGAAAACGCCTGCCGAAATGATGCTAAGACTTTTGTGCACCAAATTTAATGCTCCTCACAACGTGTCCTTTTCCGTAAATCCCAAAGTGCCAAACCGCATAGCAACATACCAACAATCTTATGCTAAAATCTTAGTTTCACTGCAGCCGGGATCATTTGTTCGGATCAAAAATCGAAGTACCGTTAAGGATCGCCCAACTCTGTCTGCACCGCTGAGAATCACACATGCATGTGGGCCTGGCACATTTGGACTGGAAAATGGCTTGATAGTCAACGCGTGTCGGTTCTACATGGCGACTGGACCGACCTCGCAGTTTAGCTAAGATAGGTGTGAAACTCAGCCACGGCCGGCTCCACCGTTCCGTGAACTACGCAGGTCCAACCGTACACAAAAGCCAGTTGTCGAACGGGAGAATGGCGTTGTGATTCGCTACCCTAGGCTTATCCTGACTAACTGAACTTCGCTCAACGTTGATGATTAGCGGACATTTGGTGAGGGATTTTTCGTTCTTGGCACATGCGCGTTTTACCTGCTTTTTACAATATATTTCCGGTACATCCTTCTGGTACGTCCTTCTGATACAACAGTGATCTCACCTGAAATGAACTAATCAATTGTTTACTTCTTCATATTAACAAACTCTGCCTCGCCGAACAAACTCCTCGTGGTGCCAGGTGGGTGGTTCAGGTTTACCCCGTTCCAGCGAAGTGTTCGGCTGTAGTGTTCAGGACGTGGTGAATTTTCGCCTGGCAAACTTTCTCCCTATAAAATGCCCCATCTGCCTGTCCAACAACACTGTGACGCGGCGGATGTGACGCGCCATTGAATAAGGTCACAGTCGATTGCTTCAGTCCGATGGGTCATTGTATTCCAGCTACCATCTGCTGTTACTCCGGGGAAGATTGGGTCCCTGTCAGGTATCTTCCCAAACGAAAGGCCTATGAACCGAGAAATCATTCACGGAATTCCAACGAGCGTGATTCCCTGAATTCGTCCCGCAGCCTTGCAGACAGGCTATTGAGTCAAAAGCTCGGAGTGATGTCCCTTCTAAGTCAACACCATACCTCGGCCTGGGCCACCGTGTAGTATCGCACCAGTTGCAAAAACCATGGATCACACCGCCTTTTCGTATTCTCTCGCTCTTGTCCCCTTCGCTTCGCATTAAGCCACATCACACGCAAACCATTCTTCTTTTAACAATCCCTGTTTCCCTCAACTTTAGCCCGGTACCGGTTTCACTACTGCCTGTGATGTCCTGCCTGAGGCTATTCTTCGACCCCGATCTGCATTCCGGCTGGTAACCCCAATGTCCGAACTGCAGATTGGGCAACAAATCGGCCTTGTACATACTCTGAGTTCCCTCGCCATTGATATCTTCTCCTTTTCCGAAACGCGATTGCGGGATTCAAGTACTGTGCTCAAGCTGAAATCTCCGACCAACCGGGAAGCCAAATACCGCATACGATTGTCTGGCGACGTTGAAGCTGCTTCCGCTGGCTTGGCCGACGTTGGTGCGGCGTTAAGCAACAAAGCCGAGGCTGCACTCCTTGACTGGGTCCCAGTTAACCGCCAACTATGTGCAGTTCACCAGCAAGCCTCATGCAGGATTGACAGACATCGCGTTGAAAGGCGCAATCTGTTTATAGTTTCTGCTTACGCGCCTACCGATTGCAGCTCTGAACCGAACAAGGACATTTTCACTACTAGCTTCTTCATTTTTTAAGCAAAGCCGCCAAGTCGGACGTCATTGTTCTCGCCGGAGACTTCAACGCAAGCGTCGGTTGGCTGTTACCAGGTGAATATCACTCGGGTGGTCATCATGCACTGAACGAAAATCGTTCAGATAACGGAATCAAGCTTCACAATCTGTGCGAAGACAAGTCTATTTCTCGCAAGCACAAAATGCAAGCACCCGAGGAGATGCTCTGCTACCTGGCGTCCTCCCTCACGGTTTCAGACCTGGTCCCAAGAAGGCCACACTGCAATCAGTTTCGGGTGGCGTGTTGGTATACAAGATGGTAGGTCATCTTGGTCTACCTACCTCAAATCAGATCACGTACTGGTCTGTGTCAAGAAATGCATGTGATGCGGAGGAAATCAGAAACGGAGGCTTTGTAAGTTTGATACCAACAGGCTAGCTAGTGAGTTGGCTCAACAAACTGTCAATTGTCACTAGCAAGCACACTAGCCTGCGTCCCGCCCACTGATATTGAACACCACTGGAAGCTTTTGCAGCAAACAAGGCTAACTTCAGGCCAATCCGCCTGTGGGTTATCTCATCACCCGTTGAAGGGTTGGATATCATTGTGCTCCCTGACACTGTTCGACCGTCGCCGAACTCTCAGGAAACCCAGACCAGAATGAAGTTCCGCTGAAAGGTGAAGCAGGATGGGCTGGGAAAGCGTGAGAGATTAGCGGATCAGAGCGAGGCAGAAAATAAGCTGTCTTAATCGATAAATTAGTCGATGTACTCAAATTATTGCTACCACAGTACACGTAGGCAGACATAGGCCCACACGTAAACGCTCACGAGACATAGCACGTGCTTTACAATTGGTGGGGTGACACTCATCACGCGATGGTTGTCAGAGTGTGGGGTAAAAGCTGTTTGGAAGTGTGTTAGCCCCAGGACAGAAGGAACGCTTGAATAAGCGCCCTCTGTTTGCATAGTATAGATTGTGGAAGCCTGATCGCAATGGCCTCGGCCGTTCATAACATTCGTTTCTTAAGCCCCTTGCGGTAGCGTTTCGGTATAAAACAAAACACTCTGAAAGCATCAGTAGCCTTGATTTGATGTGCACTTTCGACCAGATGTTCTAGAGTAGAACTATTGATGCAACCGACAGTAACATATTGCAATACCGTAGGACAATGCTCTGATATCCGTTGAGACAAACGTCTAGTCGTAAGTCCGACGTATCTCACAGCACAGGTGCAAGTATATTGTTATAGAATATAAGGTTCGGACTGGACCTAAAGTCTGTCTTTGAGACGTTGGGCAACAAACGACGCGGTTTCGGCAATGATGAGTGGATATGCAGCTGGAAACGTTCGAGATACTGCAGCGGAAACTCTTTTGATTAGCGTATCGAAAGCAATATCTCCCTTGAAAGGAACCGATAGGAATACATCTTGCTTGGGAACAGTTGTAATCAAATCATGACCATTAGTAATCACTGCGTACTTTCGGATGAAGTGGGCTGGGAAACCGTTTACTCACAGAGTTTGGAAAATAAGGTTCTTCTCGGCCTCCACTGTCTCGGGGCTACAAATTTGGGCAGCGCGAGAGCACAGGCGACGAACAAGGTTCCGTTTGTACATCAAGTGTACAAAACTGAGAAAATGCGTGTAATGAAGGACAAAGGTCGTCTTACGACACACACTTCTATGTACTAAACCGGCTCCTTTTCTCCTTCGTAAAACGTCGAAGAAAGCCAGTTAATCATCAGGTTCGATTTTACTAGTAAACTGCAAAGATAGATGTACTTAGGTTAACGGCTACAACAGGTTAGAAACATCAGCGTTTCAATCAAAGACTAAAACGTGTCAACCATGTATTCATAACAGAAATCAAATGCTTCTCTTTCTTCGAATCCGAAGAGTCTTTATTCATGAACTTGAACGTGCAACTTATATCGAGGAGTTTGGCTTGCCAAACATGCAGAAATTTCCGCCGACTTGATTTTGCTGAATAAACGCTTGCCCTTGAAGGACTGAGTTCTGCAACATGATGTCAGAGGAGACCGAGACGAACCCCACCGGCCAAACTCAGATGCTGATTAGATTAACACCGGCTTTTCAAATGCCTGTCCCGTTGAACATAGATGGGTGGAACTTGGCAAATAATTGGATTCTGTGGAGGAGCAAGTGAATGGATTTGTGCACCTCAGTACCTTAGGACGAGTAACCGATGGCATATCACTTGGCCATGTTTCGACATGTAGCCGGGGATGACGCGCGCCGTGTTCTAGAGACATTACACTACGACAAAGATCCAAATTCTTTGGAGACAGTCACTGTAAAGTTCAGCGGATTCCGCGAAGGCCAACTCAATCATTCGTACCAGCGCTATTTTTTCTTTATAAGGAGCCTCATCTACGCGGGAGGGTTCTTCAGGTATTGTTGCCTTACGGGTTGCATCCCAGATGGGATTCGCGCTATCTACTACTCTGTTCTGAGTCTTAGCACTTTTATTCTACTTAACACGGAGTTTAACTCATTAGGTATAGTCAAATGATAGCACAGGCGAGGTCTTACTCCGCCAGAAGTTTTACTATTCGCACAGCACTATTTATCCACCAACCCGAGGAACTAATTGTCTTTTCACAACTTTCCTTGCCATTTTGTAGCTTCTCATTTGTATATGGTGACAGATGAAAGCAATCCTTTCCCCGCCCATATCCCGTTTTTTTATTACCCTCATTTCTCAATGCCGTCTCACCACGATCCTTCTCTTTCATTTATCCATATTTTCATTGTGCTGGTCATCCGGTTTATGTTTTCTCATTCATATCTTAGTTCGTTAATCCGGATTTCACAACCTCTTTGAGTGATATTGTGGAAGAGGTGATTCAAAAATCTCCGATCGACGCTCGGAGAGGCTTATACGGAGTAAGTCCACTTTTGTGTCATGCAACTTATGCTCCCTTTCGCTTTTTGACCATTATTCCACTTCGACCTGTTCTGCGGGATATCGAACTTTACGTTTCCCACTACCCCCATCCTGTTATCGGCTCTGCATCAAAAATAGCTTAAATATCCGCTGGCATGTGTCATAGAAAGTGGTGGTACGCTGGGCTTACTCATGCAGACACACTTTTAGACCACTATAAATACGGGCTGTTGTATGTTGGAGCCATAATCGTCTTCACGAGAGATGTCCAAAGTCCGGCCCGCGGCCTCAAATTCAAACTCGGACATTTTTCGTACACGCGTAATTTTTGCCTTTATCCTTATAGACTGAATGTGACCTGACCTATTTTTATGTCACAAAATGTGGCCCTCCCTGCAACAAGTTTGGACACCCCTGGTCTACACCTTTCTTCACCTTGAGCACTTCACAAGACAGCGATTTGAATTTTCTGTCCCTAATTTGCAGCCGTATCGTAGTCATCTGGTCTGCAACGCTTGACAGAAGAAATGAAACATGTTTTCACATTCCCCATCCGCAGGTTCTTGTTCTTCTATGCATGATGGAATTTCTCAGGGACTAGTCGTTAAGCTTCGATGTCGTTCGATTTCTTCCTCATTTCAGCTTCGACTCAATGTACTTTGCGCATTTAGACATGGGATGTAGAGCAGAGCGACATAGCTGTTTGGTACTTTGAATTAGATGCGCGTACAACTTTGTCACCTGTTAGAATCCTATCAAGGGAACTACACTTGAGCAAACTGGCACTGCCGGCCTCATGTATTACTCGACTGCACCACACGCCCGTACTATTCACTTTTCTCCCCTCAGGACTTATAAGTCTGTTCGACGGGTAAGGATGCCCAGTTGAGTTAGTTTTATAGCATCGATGTCTCTGGTGCAGTACATTTCATCACAGTTACGTAGCTCTGACTCAAGCACATCAATGCGATGCCATAGATGCACCCTCACTATTTTCGTGAAGCCTCTTTGATATCGAACATCAATTTCAGGACATCATTACTTTATGGTGCCGCTCTGTGGCCTTAAGGCCTGCCTTGTAATACCGAGGTCGCGGATTTGAGACGGCGTACGGGACCGGGCGACCCTCGCAGTATCCTTAGCCCATATGAGACTGTCGGCCGTGTCGGTACTGCGTACCGGCGTACTGCTGATATCCTTAAATTATGATGGCGCCTCACTGTTTTACGACCATAAATCCGGGACAGATTTACCGATAAAAAATAAACAGAGAGATGAGGCTATAACTTGGCATCAAACTTCAATTCCTTGGACGAACACTCAGGTTACAGACACCTACACCTTACCGGTGCCATGCAGCCTATCATATTAAGCTGATACTACATCGGCTTTCACTTACCTCTTGTCTTACTCGGCTTAACTACACAGCTCGCCCACTCTCAGTCACATTGTTGACTGGCGGTTCAGCTGATACGCAACTGCAGACACCTCGCTGGTGCTGATCGCGAGCTGTTTTGTAAGTAACCGTCTCAATACAGATTCGCGTAAACGCGCACACGCACAAGTTTGTCCTCGGCGCACGGTGGATCAGTGTGCATATCATTTGCGCAAACCACGGCAGCTTATCTAGTATAAACCGCTGATCCAATTGTTTGATCCAACCATTACAGCTTAATCCGTATCTGTGCATCTTATCGTTAGAACACGCTGTCTTTCAACATGTGTACTACACCACTTTTAACGGCGTTCAAGGTCTTGAGGAAGATTGACAACTTCAGACCGAAGGGACCAAACCTCATTGTCTTGGAGGAGCGCGGTTCTAATTGTGGTCTTGCAAACATAACCTTTGAGCGCAGAGAAAATCCTCCAGCGCTACCTGAGGTACCACATATACATGATGACTGTTTCAGCTTTCGCATACTTGAGGTAACTTCAACAGTCGCAAGTTGGTCTCTGCCAACGGGATCACCATAACAGGGGATTTGATTCGTTGACTTCAATTACTCTTCCTTACAAGGAATGACACAATTAGCTCACGGTCCCGCAACAGTGCAAGGTCAGCACTACCCGACTCCAGAGAGCTTGCCAGCGTTAGCTGTGCATCCTGCGATTGTCATTTAATTAGACAATGGTCTCCAAAATCTAAGTAAATCGGTTTTCCCGTGTAGCACTTCAGTATATACATTGTGAGATTACACTGTTGGTCTTACATGATTGAATGTATAATAAAATTGACCATAGATGAATTTGCACGACTCCACTAAACCCAGGTTGTTGACATAAATGCACCCGACAATTGTCTGTGGACTTTGATACCACTTGTGATGGGAGTCAAGTTTATGGCGAGTTAAATATTTGCATATTTCATGGAAACACTTTCTTGGGCTCCTGAGAAAAAGTAAAACCACCCGAGTAAACTCTACTTCAGTGTGGAAGCGATTTCAACTAGTAGTGTTCGACAGAAGCGCCAAGACGTTTCAGGGTAGTTCAAGTCCATCAGGGGCAGCATGCACCTACCTCTTCGTTGAGTGATGCATTTCAAAACTACCACTTTGGGCTTTCCCAAAAGTTCTTAGGCTGACCCGTGAATATAGTCTTGTTTTCCAACTACCTTACCTAATCGGTAGGTGTTCTCTCAACAAGTTTCTGCATCGATACGTAGCTTTCTGGTTTTGGTTGGGATTGGGAGCCCATGGGGAACATGATTGTTTTAACATGAATCGCATACCAAAGAGATGATGTAACACTACACAAACCTGTCGTACAGGTCGTGAAGCTTGGCGTAGTTGTACACTGTTTTCGTGCACTTGCGGTACATGTGACGCTACCAGCATCCCCGTTCTGGTTGGAAATCTCCAGGTTCTTCCCTCATTCTGGATTCTCGTACTGCAAGTAGTGCGATTTTCTCTCTTCTTCCCATCACCCATTCGCCCCTTTTGGTTCGAACAACATTCTTCCGTACCTGTTCTAATGAATGAGCCAATTCCTTCGCGAGAGAGTCGATACAAACCTCACATATCACGGATACACTACAATCCAGCCCAATAGCTCAAAAGTACCTTTTCAATTCTTGGATATAAATGAAGCGTCTAAGTCAGCGCGTTAGTTTATGCTTCTCCATCGAACGAACAAGTCCTTTAAAGCGGGAGGCCTTCTGTATTATTGAATGCTGTATTGTGGGAGCAGGTGGAAATTCGAATCTGTACAACTCCATCGAAATATGATCAAAACGTTGAGAAAACAAACTATAACTTGTCGATACGCTGATCGTTTTTCACGTTTTCACGCAATATCGTTAAAAATCGTTTAATTTACAGTAGGTTATGACTCAAAAATATGAGATACCTGCAGGTAATCGTTCTCGGAATCTGATATTTGAAAAATGCACATCCAGTGATCGTTTGAATAACGGCACTGAGTTCGCTTCCACTATATATTCCGGCTAACCGTTCCATACATCTACCACTCGCCGTTCCAAGCACTGAGGATGGGAAACCCGCTTCATGTTTGTAACCATAAGCTTATGTTGGTGTCATCTCCACTGTCTTGTGGGTCAGGCTATTGAGCCAAATGCTCCTGGCGGAGTCCCTCAAGCAAACCTCCAAACCACCCACTGCCTTGTGGATCAGGCTATTGAGCCATAGGCTCCGGTCGGAGTCCCTCAAGCAAATCTCCGAAGGCCAACGACCACCTCGCGTGCGATTGCCCACCAATACAATTGTATGTCTGCGAGCAAAACACTCAGCATCGGGTGCTGTAATGTGCGCACACTACTGGACCAGAACTCGAGTGAGCGCCCCGAGCGACGCACTGCACTGGTTGCGATGGAGCTGGCGCGTTACCACATTGATATTGCGGCCCTCAGTGAAACCGGGCTCGCTGAGCAAGGTAAGTTGCATGAAGCTGGTGTTAGCCACACATTCTACTGGGTGGGCAACGCCGCCTCAGCACCACGTGAACATGGGTTCGGATTTGCAATATCCGATCGCCTCCATGGCCAACTGGTGGGTAAACCAACAGGCATCAGCGCGCGACTGATGACTGTTCGCGTACGACTCGGAAGAGGTAAATTTGCCACTTTTACAAGCACGTACGGTCCGACCATGTGTTATCCTGATGACACACGTGATCAATTTTACACTCAGCTATCCTCTGTGATACGGTCTGTGCCGAGGAGCGATCGACTATATCTGCTGGGTGATTTCAACTTGCGCGTTGGGCGTGATGCATCGGTGTGGACAGATGTTATCGGTTCGCGTGGCATTGGTTCAGCGAATGCGAACGGTGACAGGCTGCTCTCTTTGTGTGCCACTCATGACCTGACGACCACGAACACTCGGTTTGTAGTGAGTGCGATATAGTAATTTGGACGCACCCACGAAGTGGTCACGCTCACCTGTTCGACTATGTCAGCGTGATATGCGTGAAGTGCGTATGACACGCGTACTGCGTGGAGCTGAGTGTGGCACTGGTCACAAATTGGTGCGGACCAAAATGTACATATATTTTCGTAAATCAATGTATTACACTCCCGCCGTGAATCAGCGTAAATTTAACATTCTCTTCCTTGGTACTGTGGCGAAACGTACTGAGCTGGAGAAGGCGATGGCTGCACGCCTGTGTGATGTGCACTGCATGGCCTCAGTGGGCGACCTGTGGCACCACATTCACGACCAGGTGACAGCTGCTGCCGAGGAGGCTATCGGGCGCGCGAACCGTAAGCGGCCTGATTGGTTTGATGAGAACAATGCGACGATTGGCGCATTGGTGTCGGGGAAGAATGCAGCATTTGCTGCACATGTTGCAGACCCCAGTGACTTGGAGAAGAGTAGTCAGTTTCGTAAACTTCGACGGCGACTGACCCGAGAGCTCCGTCGCATAAAAAATACATGGTGAACGGAGAAGACGAAGCGGATGGAATGCTACGCCGAACCCCGCCAACACAAGGAATTCTTTGACTCCTCGAAGGCAGTGTATGGACGGAGATTGGAGCCGCTGA